CCACATAGCTCACTGAATAGTTTATAAGGGTTACATTGAAGTAATGTCAAAAGAAATAAAAATGTGTTATATGCCATGTGAAGTGTGTACCTCAAACGAAAAGGCACACATTAGGTCCAGCTTATGGTAAAATAAGACATCTCCAAAGAAAGAAGAAAAAGTGCTATCAGAAATGTCACTTGTCACAAATGGCATCAGTAGTATTATTACAAATGTCGTGCACCTGATTATCCTTCTCTATATGACATTGCACCGACAAAAGTGACCAAAGGTGCGTTCTTCCTCCACATATCGCTCTTTTTGCATGCATGAGAAACCAGATTGCAAAGACTCTAAGTGTTTAAGAACATTAGGTGAAAGGGCAACAGTCATGCGAAATATGTATGTACCTAAAACTTACTCAGCTGACTATTGTATTATTTGAAGTAAGAATCCGAGTACGTGTTATATGTGGTATTGTAGTCCATGTGTGGTGTTCTCAGATTAATCGATTTTCGCGCAAGTATTAGATGGGTTACCTTTATACCGCGAAGAATGATCAGGAAAATCGTGAACTGAATCTGAATTTCGCTAAACGAGCGAGTTTTTAGATAAGTAAGAAACAGTCTGGTCACGTGAAATACAATCATTATTATATACAAGGCAAATAAACTGGAGAGTCGTCTTCCTACAGGATCAGTAAAACAAATAACAGTTATAACGTCACAAGATATCTTTCCATTGATCAACTAGCTTCTCGAACCAATTAGGACTAGATGAGTTCTTATGACTAAAGCAGATATCTGTATTAAATTGGAAACATCAGTTCTACCCAGAAACGATACGCGTTATCACATGACTTGTAGTTCTCGTATAACAGATAAAGACTGTAACCTCTAGATATAATTTACTTGGCCAGTGAAGTACGTTGCTGTGTACAACCTTTTTCTACACTAAAGGCAACTAGAAGGAAACAAAGTAAAAAAAAAAGAAGAGAATTACTTGAAACTGATATTGATAGATTTCAGAAACTAACAGATGGCGAATACTCAAATGTGACTGGACTCACCAAGTCTCAGTATGATGGCCTGTCTAGACGAATAACAATGAAAACTGTGAATTTGTTTGAGTGCTCTCTTCATTAAGCTTCCTACAGGGTTATTCAAAAACTTCTGTCTACAATTATTCCGAGTTTCAAAATTCGCCTTTGTCATAAAGAGATACTTCGATTCGTTCTCTTTTGGCGAGAGATTGTGTTGCTTTATTTCTTGGATTTAGATACATCATATCCATCCACCTGCATAGAATCTTTCGACAGAAGGAAATATTATTGTTGCCATCCTAGAAACGTTCTGTGTATGTATTCCAGAAACAAAGCTACTGTGTGCACACAAAAATAATCCATTTGTCAAATTAACTCATCACCTGGCTGCTGTGGATAGATGATTTAAGTATGCATTCAATTACCATCTCGAACTGGGTGTCAAAACCCAGATACCATTCTTTTTGTCAATGGGGTGTAACCAGCATTCTGAAGAGGAATCTAATCTTTCAGGGTCGGTCGCAAAAGTAAGTTGGGTAGTAGAAGCAATGAATGATTACATAAAACAGTAGACGGCATGATATTTAATATTCTGTAGATTCTTTTTAGTAGGGGACAAGCTGAGGTACCCATCCTTTGTCCGGTTATGAACTTAAATATATTATGCTATGATAATTAACGCAAAAATCCTAACTTTCACAAAATTTACTTATAACATTACTGGCAGGATTCATTATTATCTCACCATAAGTTTCGTATAAACTTTAAGAACTCAATATGTATATACTCAAAACATGGTATACATTGTGCGATGGTCAGGATGAAACTTCAGTGTTTATGTATTATTGCAATAATGGCGGCCATTTTTTTTTCATTGTATTCCTCCATATTGTGTATGTTGTGTTATAAAACAAATTACGTTTTTCTGGCGTAAGGACGTAGCGAGATCTATGAATGCAGTTAACTTTAACCTATGTCAAAGGTAATAAATGCTCAGTAACAGCACTAATGGGGGTGGAGGGGTTGTGAACCCCCCATTAACACGCCCCTTGTTCCATATTATCATTCCATAAAGTTTGTTTGAGAATAACCCAGTAACATAGGAGTAGTTAGACAAAGAACAAACAGTCTGTGTGTGAGGTGGGGGGCACTTATCTAACGATGAACTGTATGATATGTATCTACAAGTAATGAAAGGGATGAAAGCTCTAGTGTCATAGTGTTTCAAGTATATACTAGGAATAATTTCTTTAAGGCGTGGGTGCATTATAACAGTGACAGTCTATACATTTGCCTGAACAGAGTGACAGGATGCTGTTGACTAATCAGTAGTTCAAAATTAAGGACGGCGGCAGATAGTTTTAGTTGCTTTTCTATAAATACAAAAAAAAAAAAACAGATACTTTAAAGAATTGGGTAGTGCATAATTATTATAAGTGATATGTGCCATTTGTATGGATGAATTCTGGAACACATTAAGTTATTTCTTGTATTTTTTTAGTTTAAATTTGCGAGGTACAATATGAACACAATATCGAAATACAGAAGTTTTAAGACTCAGCCAAATTCCCACATCCAATACAAATCCTTGTTTTCTAGGTCAGAGGATAGGTACAACATTTATGAAGTTAATTATGTAAACATCGTTTTCTTTTTAAGCGAATTATCTATATTGCCTCTAAATTCAATTCATATTTACACTATTTACAGCGCGGATTATACATATACAAGTATTACTAAGGATACACAGAACGTAAGATCACTTTTACTTCTATGATAAGTTAAAAAAAGTTTAAACAATTATAGTATTTTGGCACTTGTGTATAAAGTTAAAATCATAAATAATATTCAACGTTAAATTGGTACACAATTAAGATTTTTTAATTGTGTACCAGTTTAACGTTGAATATTATTTATGATTTTAACTTTATACACAA